TGGACGTGTCATTCTAAACTAGGGGCTAGCCCGTTGAGACAACCACAGCCTTCGAGTATAGCTCCGTTTGCTAGTATCTCCGATACTTCTACCAGCTACTCTCGACGAGAGGAACGAAGACTGGATAGCGGGGGCAGGTGGCTGAATCGGAGAGAGGAAACAACCGAACACAACCGAATTGAGAGAGAAAGTAATATGCAAATTATAGCGCTATTCTATGGTATCAGGACAAAATCCAAGTGTAATCTAACTAATAGGTACGCGGCCAAGAAAGTAAATCGGTAGAAAAACAGGTTTTGGGAGGAAATGGTAAAAGAACGCAGCCACATCACCGGCGCGGCAAGGTATCCGTTCCTCGTTCCCTGGCTGGTGAGCGTCCGGCCAGCATCACACAACTCCGATATTATCTAGACGTCGTTTTGCCGCAGTGGCTGAAACTCCCTCTGCGGGGCATCCGAAAGAACTGACATCTCCAGAGGAGCCAGGCGACCCGTGCCCTGCTCCTTGCGCGATATCGTCTCCCGCTCGAGCTTCTTCCCGAATACCAGGCTCCACAGGTACGCGCCGTGGACGACCTCGTGGCCGTCCTTCCGTATCCACACGTTTCCCAGGAAGGTGGTGACCAGGACGCAGGCCCACATGAACGGGACCATCGTTATGTACGCCCACTTGATGGCCTCCTTCGCGTCGTCGGGCGTAGGGCCAATTTTGTTGTTGAAGACGGCCCCCATCAGCGTCAGGCCCACGGTGCCCCCGAAGGGGTTAGCGAACGATACGAGGCAGGTTATCACCGCCGTGCGGTCCGGGAAGTAGGCTAGGCCGTGGAGCGTGCCTGGGTTCAGCCGCGAGCCAACCCCGAAGCCCGTCAGCGCCATCATGCCGTATACGGTGTTGACTTGGCCCGCGCCGACGGCCCACGCTAGGACGGTTATGCCCACTGCAGAGGTGATACTGCCGACGAGTAGGATGGGGGTGGTCTGGCGCGGCCATACGTTGAGGAAGAAGTTGGCAGAGTAGGCTCCGACTGTTGTTTTAAGTTTGCCCGTTAGCAAAGCTTCGTTTTTGGCGCCAAGCATGGATATTAAACACGAAGAAGAAGTTGTGGGCAGACTTACCTCCAAGTCCGGGCAGGAAATACAAGAGCGATATTCCCGCCTCGCTGCTGCTGTGTCCAAGGACAAAAGTGAAGTAAAGGTCCATGTAGTACATGATGGCGAACATGGCCATGCCGGAGGCGAAGTTGATGAGGAAGATGAGGCCGATATCGCGCTGCACGAGGAGGTCCCAGGGGATCATGGCCTTCTGGATGGGGAAGACGCGGGACATGAGTCGCGGTGGCTCCATGAGGTACTCGTACAGGAGCCAGGCCAGGGTGACGATAGCGCCGACAATTAGGGGTGCCAGGACGGTGGCGCTGCTCCAGCCGTGTGTGCTCCCGCCCCAGGTGAGGGCGAGGATCAGCAGGCCGATGCCCCAGAGGAAGAGCATCTGGCCACCGTAGTCAATAGTCGCTATTCGCAGCAGGAACCGGCCGTGTCGCGTGGTGTCGCTCCGGTGGCGGTGGTAGCCCTCCAGCTCTGGGAGCGCCTGGGGGCCAATGAGTTCCTTCCGAAGCAGGATGAGGACAAGGACGATTGCCAGGACGGCGACAGGGAGGTTGATGGCGAAGCACCACCGCCAGCTGGCCGTGGTCAGGTATCCTCCGATGACGGGGCCAATGCTAAAGCCGATGGAAGCGATGATGGCGAAGAGAGTCCAGTTGACGCTGGCGTCGGACAGGGAGACGCGGTCGGCGAGGATGGTGCGCACGGTTATGGTTATCCCGGCGGCGCCGACCCCCTGGAGGGCGCGGCCGAGGAGGAGGACGCCAAAGGCTGTGTTGGGAGCGCCAGTGCAGATGGCCGAACCGATAATCATCACGACCAGCGTGGCGTGGATACAGACGTGGCGGCCGAAGATATTGACCATTTGGGCCCAGAAGGGCATGAAGGCTGCCGTGGTGAGGTTGAAGGAGGAGATGATCCAGTTGAGCTGTTTGAGTTCGCCTGCAGTCGTGAATACGACTGGTTAGCCAAAGGCGCATTTTCTTACATATCCTATCGCGACGCGGGGTCACCTTCAGCGCCCGCGTAGTGGCTCGCCGACGGGGTGTACTTACCAAAGTCTTGCGCGATAGAAGGGAGTGCAGATGCGATGATGGTGGTGTCGAGGGCCTGGAGTAGAAAAGGGGCGGCTAGGCCCATGATGATCTTCCACCTGTATTTCCGCATCGCCTTTTTCGCCGCAACCTCCTCCGGTGTGAGCTCCTTCTCATCAGAGTTCGACTTTTCCGTGGGATCTGTTGGAGAGGCTACCACCAGCCCGTTGCTGTACGGAGCCCCGGCCTCCCATGCTTGCGGGAGTCCATGCTCTGAATTCGGTCCTGCGGCAGGAAGGGCCTGGCTCTGCTTCTTCGCCGCGGCCTTCTTCTTGTAGTGCTTGTAGGCCAGATACATGATGTCTCCGGGTGCGAGTGTGCACCGCTTGACAAATTGGCCTGCGATGGAATAGGGATATTGTCGGAGCTCGGAATTAGTGTTGGCGTCGGAGAAGTATGCGGTGTCGTGTTATATCCTGGTTATTCTGTCGTTGGAATTGGAGAAGAAAGAGGTGTTGGTTGCTTTATATCCCCCTCCCACCCGTATATCGTATTTTGACTTCAAACCCCGTCATCATCGCCGTCGTAAGCAAATCGATTCCTCGCACTCGCACTCGGTTCCTTTGTAACATGAAGTGGGGCTCGCGGTTGCACTATCGCCCCGCTGACTTCGTGGCATGATGCCCGATACGGACTAGTGCCAGGTCCCGGCTATATCGGCAAGGAAGGACAGGCCAGTGCCGACACCCGCGGCCACCACGACAAGCATGCCGATCCTCCTTTGGCGTGTTAGGAATACGCACAGAAAGGATGGTATGGTTCTGGTACGATTTTCAAGAGGGTGAAGCGCGTCTAGGGCTGCGTTTGGATAATTTGGGGGCAGAGACTTGGCACCTTTGCAGGTGGAGGGAAACGAGTCACCTCGTGGTATGGCACCTAATCAGGCTTAGCTCGGCATGTCAAACTCGCTCAGCCCTAGGCAGGGTGGTCCCGGGTTGAGTGGCTTAGCTTGGCATTTCTTTTTTGGACTTCGCGAGAAACCACTCCTTCGGGATTAGCGCACTAGCATCATGTAGATCGTAGCCCTATTGCTCCTCACAATAACACTCGCATTATCGAATTGGAGGTACAGAAGGTCAAAGGGCGGGAGGCGCGTAAGCAAACGATTACATTTTCCTCCCTCCGTGCCATGAATCACCATTTCCCCAGCAATCGACCTGGGCAAAGATCGTCGATCGATGACCCTAATTTCTGACATCGTTGAATGGCAAGCTTGAGTTCTGACAAGTCGTAAGTAGAGCTTGCCGTCGTCTGGATGCTGACAACTCGCGGCGGCTATTACGCCCGGACTCTCTCGTACAGGGCGAATACGGGAGCCTCAAGTCGAGGCTCGGGGATTACATCCTCTTCGATCGACTCCCTCCAACCATGTCTCGTCAAAACTACGGGAGGGTACGGCGGAGTGGGAGTGTACGGAGACATATCACGTAGCAAATATCGAGGAGAGAGACGATGTTGCTTGAGGAGAACCTCTACGCCACATGTGCTAGTAGGTCTTTGTCTATCCTCCCTCACAAAAAAGTGTAAGCAGGGATACCGTTGACGGTGTTTAAGTTTTGCGCGTGGGTGGCTGACCGGGCCGGGCTGGAGAAGGGCGGCGTGTGCCGGGA